TGTTCTTATATTTGAACAACACTGTGTCAGTGCAATAAAAGAGACAAAGGCAGGTTAAACAGATAAAGAACTGATTTTGCCGTTGCAAAAAATGATTATAAGTACAGAGGATATTAAACACTACACATGTAGTGATTTGTTGTTGGGGTTACAACAGATTTGTAGGAGACAGAGTCCGTGATTCGAGGCGTTCAGCAAACAGCAAACATCACTGATCACTGTCCAGGACAAAAAAAACACCCAAAAAACTCCCCATTTGTGCTCCAAGAGAGCCAACAGACACCAGCTGCTGATGGTAGGATCAGATTAAGCTACTGTACAATAACAGTTTCACAAATCTGAAACAATTTCCTCTATGCTGCTCTGCTGCTCTCTAGCAAATGCAGCCTTGCAAAAACACAGAACCGGGCTTTAAAGTCTTCAACTGTCGGCGTCGACGCACTTCGAGGGTGTGTTTTTTTATCACCTTTTGTTCGGTGTTTCAGTTAGGATGTTTACGTATGTACAACTACAGCAGGATGGATTTCCTGCTGCGAGAAAAGAGTTAAAGTGTGCCACATGAAAGACTTGTTTTGGTGCAAGACGCTGTCAAAAAAAATCAAAAGTCAAAAACGACAGTGGAATTGGTGAAGATTGGGGATAAGTAGCCTCACAGATTATCAGTGGTCCTTTCATAGATTGTGTGTATTGATAATTTTTCCCCAAAATTTAAAACAGACAAGCACAAGAATGCAATTTTTTTGGTTAAATATACTCTCTGACAACACATAAGCGCTGGCAGTTTTTTTCTACAGCGCTAAAGGAGGAAAACAAAGTAAGACAGCTCTGCAAAACTCCTCCGGTCTGAGGCCTGTCACACCCATAAGAACAGATGGAAACTGGCTCCTCACAAGCACCTCATGTTCCATTTGATCCCTCGCTCTCGACACCTCCGAGCGCATCTCCAAAGAGCTCAGTTTCCTGTGAAGTTGCTCGTCAGCAGCAGTTCTGGTTATATGTTTTCCAAGAAACATGTCAGTTGCTGTTGTTTTCAACAGCCGGACGCTCTATCTTACATCTAAGAAGCAGCGATGTATTTGCATCATTTATCACACCTAGTCACTGGGGACTTGTCAGGGTTTGTTTTGATGAGATGTCATCTGTGGAAATAAACTTTCAAGTGTTTTTTTTATATTTCTAAAGCACCAAATCACAGCAGAAGTCATCTGAGGGCATTTAGGCCCCATTTATACACAGCAAAATGGTGATATTTCAATGCCTTTGGGCCTTTGGTTTACATGTAAACGAAGCTACGAGTCACCGAAAACCATCATATCAGACAACTCCGGCCAAAGTGGAGATTTGGAAAAACTCCTTTACGTCTTTACGTTTGCATGTAGACAGAAGGAGGCAGAGTTCGATGTCACTGTCTGCGATAAAAGCATCGTATGTCCCATGTTTATTTTCAAGTATTTTACTTGTTTTATACTCTAACACCACATTTAGGACCACCACATTATCGCTGAAGTAATTTGTGCCATTCGTTATTGTGCTTTTTCCAGGATTCTGATTGGCTGCTTCTCGTTACACTGCCCCCTATAGGTTTGGCATGCTCATAACAGCTCTTAATGTTTATGTGGGTTTGCGTAAACGAAGATATTTTTTATAAAACGACGTGGTATTAACAATGTTATTTTTGAAAACGGAGATTTGTGTAAACGTGGCCTTAATCAATCACACAGACAACATCCCTGGACGTCAAACAGGCCCCATGCCATTAAAAAAAAGCAGTGAATTGGAGAAACTGGAAACAAGAAAAAAACCAACTAAAGTGTGCACATTACAAATGCCAAAAATCACATCCTCACTTTATATCTGAGTACAAAATCTACCCCACATGCGTCAGTCTCTCTGGCATTGGTTGGCGTGCGGGAGCGAACGTCGATTTGATCTCCAGTCCTGTATTTACACCTCTGTACCACAGTAACTCCTGCCTCACTGTGCCTGACACGCTGCGGTCTGTGCCACCACTTCCTCCCAGCTGTCTATTCACACAACTTCCTCCAACACCCAATAATGTGCTCCCCTGACGATCTTACGGCAACAACGTTACCAACAACAAGCCCGGGCCGTGATCGCGCACCGTGATCGCGCACCGCGTCACAGGCCCGTCCTTGAGTTGAGAAAGTGTGAACAAACAACTCCCTTTGGTTTGAGTCAACGCTCTGAGCGACACATAGGGCGTCCAAATGTGTGCACGCTGTGGGGGGGTGATTCTGAGAAATATGGTTTTAGCTCACTAGAAACAGAGTTCTGACCCGACGTAATAGATGCAACCTCTTAAAAAAAGACACTGGTTGATGATGAGCGTGCCAGCTACAAAACAAGAACATTTCATTTTGCATGGGCTGAGGCACATGTTCACTGAAGGATTAAACTACAAAACCTAAGTCATGATGGGACACACACAGCTGGGATCAATACCATGAATGATGGCTCAGCAGCATTATTGATTGAGCTCAAATCAAACCATGAATAACACTGTAGAGTACTGATCCCAATATTTACACTTTTTAGATGACTTTTGTGATTCATAATACTTTTTGCTCAGGATCCTATTCATTTATTACAGTTATTAGTAGTCTAATGTGACATTTGTTTGATTGTAAAGCAGTTTGTTTTTCACTTTTGCTTTCTGTTCCTATCTATATATAGGAACTTGTACACTTGTATTCATAGTGTATATACCTGGCCTCTTTAATTTAAGTGTTCTTGCTTTTCTTATTCTCACTTTGCTGCTCTGACTCTGCAAATTTCCCCTTGTGGAAGGATATTCTATTCTATTTTACTTTGTTTTAAGTGCTCTTATCATTATTATTACTACATAAGATATCCTAGTGTAATTGCGATTGATTTTCTCTCGAGTCCAAACCATGGACTTTTGGGGCAAAGAGGGTTTCTACTTGATGAGAGGACCCGCCTGAGAAGGTGGGCCGTAGAAAGGAAGATTATTTTCTGGAGCTCATGTATGTTGACGTTGCCAGGGATTTAGTTGGAGTAGTTTTCCACGTCCTTCTTGATGGTTCCAAGGGCTTTCATGTCAGAGTCCTGCAGACTAAAACCACCAGAAACAAAAACAGTTTTTATCCCACTGCCATAACCCCACTGAACAGCTGAGCCACTCCAAGCCATAAATGCACTTTCATTTTGCACTAATGTACATATACCTTTTCTACTGGATGTGTAAATTCTTGTATATATTTGTCTTATTTATTTTTTATTAATATTTATTGTATTTTATTCTTTTTCTTCTGTAGTTATTTTACTTTATTTTATTTTTTAAATGTTCCTATTTCTATCATTCGTGTAAATTCCTCGGGCGACACCAACAGCCGTAACCAAATTCCTTGTATGTTGTGTATGTACTTGGCCATTAAAGCTGATTCTGATTATTATTATTATTATTACCAAACCTAAAGGTGATGATCTGCAGCCATCGACGGCGATGTTTGCCTACAACCTCGTGCCAAACGGTCAGCTGATAAAACCGCTTGTTTCGGTGAGCGACAGCAAGAGCTGCAACATTCACAACACGACTCAAACGGTAAAAACACTACACATAAGCTGTGCTGCATTTCAGGTCAGGAGATTCTGTTATGAGTCGACCCCTGATGGTAAACTTACAAGAAACAAAACTTCAGTTAAGACCATGAACAAAAAAAAAAAAACAAGTGATGTGATTTTGGTCTGACTCCAGATACAGGAGCACAGCGATGCACATTAAAAACTAAAACACATTTAAAGGATGGCATCTTTCCCCTTATTTGTAGGTATTAAATATGTTGTCCATGCGATGAGAAACTCTCTCATGAGGCAATGTCAGAAATGTAAACAAGCTAAAACACTGGCTGTCACTGAGAAGACACAGTGAATCTTTATTCCTACAGAAACCTAACTGAAGTAGGAGAGCAACTCAAGCCTGTCTAAACTCTCCGCTGTGGTCCTAAATACCGTCTAAAAATCTTACCGTTCCAGTGCTGCGCCGCTGTGGGACTCTGCCTCAGCCCGTCCAGACACCGGTCCAGAGCGTGCTGGATCCGGTCCTCTGTGCACGAGGTGTGCTGCATCTTTCAGCGCTCAGGTTCTGGAGAGGAACAGGAGAGACACCCGGTTATTAAGCGTCAACAACAAGTTACACAACTACCGCCACCGTTCATGCCTTCTGCAGAACATTATCTCCCAACGCCTTCGTATTCGCGAGTAATGCCGACATGCAAACACACACACATGATCCTCTCTTTTCATGGACAGTATGTTGTGTTATCGCGGGCTGATTTGCATGAAGGCAGATCAGCCGGCGGGTATGAAAATGAGCCAGGGGAAGATACACAAAGCATAAAGGGGCATTTCGAAGCCAGAGGAGAAACAGAGCTATTTCTGTTGCTTGTTTTGGTGCCATAATTCTGTAAAATTACCTCTTGAACGTGCTCCTCAGGTCACACAGCTGGATTCAAAGTCTCACACGGCGGTTTCAAACTGGCTCACTGCAGTTACAGTAATAGCACTGTACCAGGATGAGTGTTTCTGCTGGTTTCAGGATATTTATAACCGGCCAGCTTTGACAGTGACATTTGGGCAAAGCAAAACAGGAGAACCCACCGTTTTCTCAATATGACTTTTATTAAAAGAGAAGCGAGATTTAAAACAAGCACCTCACTTGTGTAGTTGTGTACTGAAGTCATCTATGTAATTCCAGTATGACCAAAGCCTTGTGAGTACATCATTTTTCACCACTGACTCATGAGGATGTGCTGAACTTCACTTTTTAAACTTTATCGTTGCATTCGGCCGTTTTTTTTTTTGTTGTTTTTTTTTTTTTCCCCCCTTCATGCGGCAACTGAGGACAATCCAGGTGTGGCAACTTGTTTCAGTTCTGTTATGAATCATAAGACGCACTCATAAGTAAACACCAGGGATCCAGTGAGTTAAAAAGAGAGGGGCTGCTTTATAAACCTCGGTTGCATTTCGTGTAGATAAACAAGATTTCGGGTCACAGATGTTTAATGACACAGTTTGAAATCTGCACCTGACATCAAGCAAAACCAAACACGATGCCCGAGTGGAGGAAAGTGTGTCATTAAAAATAGAAGTCTACAATATTTCATGGTTATTAAAGTCCCCTGCAAACTATGGAGGCATGTCGCTGACTACAATCCATCCTTTCAACTTTTATCGAGACCACTTCTTTACGAAAGTTTGTGCTTAAAGTTGCCCAGACTTCCACTGATGGGGTCCGACTATGCAAGATTAGCAACCTGAATACAACAACCTAAAACATAAATCATCCACAAATCAACTTGACAAGCCTAAAAAACATCATTTTGTTGTCCTCTGATTGAAATGTTATCACCAAAAATCACTTTCATATTGGCAGGTGGTGGTAAAGTTCACGTCCAGGTACATAAGACAACTGAAGACATTTGTTTTGTGTGTTGTAACTGCCTTTTATGTTCATTTAAATGAAAAAAACCCCTGAGATGAACCAATTCATTGACTCATATCTGTGTGTGAGGAGAGGCAGTTGGTTAAAAGCTGTTACAGTCATAAATCTGACAGTGAAAAATGAAAGCTTTGTTGACAATGAATTACAATGAACTTCTCCTTTCCAACTAAACGTACAGAAAAAATCTGACATTGCACATGCTTGTAAAACTTGGATTTGGTGCAGAAAACTATTACGAAACCATTTTCTATTTTAGACGTTTACTGGAATTCACTGGAACGTTTAAAGAACATTCACTGCAAGATGAGCGGGGGGAAAAAAAGGTTGCTGAAAATGCATTTTGCTGATGCTGCTTGATGTATTTTTAAAGCTTCTCTTGACTCATGTAGCTCAGATCAGAAAAGTCTGAATTTGAGAAGCAGAACAAATACTTCTCTTAAAAAATGGGATGTTTTTTGTTTTTTTTAAAGATTTACTATTTTAGAAAGCTGATCGTTTCTTCCCAATGCTCAAAAACTTCATCATGTTCTGCTTGAAGTCACAATCAGCGATAAACGTTGACAGTAAATGGAAGACGAGTGGAATCCAGCGTCAGCATCAGAACCAGTGATCGCTTATCGGTAACCTCTCCTTCATGCCTCCCTTGCGTTTAATCAGTGAAATCTGCAGAGTGAAGTGAGACTGACACGAGAACAAAATGAGTAGCACCGGCTTAGAAGAAGAAAAAACTGTTTTTTGCTTGATTACATCTGCTCAAAAAATTTCCCTTGACAGTGTGAAAAATTCCCCGTCTAACCTGAAAGATAAACGATGACTAGTGAGTGAAAGTCTTAAGGAATTACTCACTTGCACTCTACGCGCCCACTCACCTAATGACCTACTACCAACTGACGCTGTGTGCTTGGCAACAGTTTGGCTTGTTTGTTTGCTTAAAGGGAGTCAGATAAGCAGATCCATCAGCTGGTTGCCAACGAGTCGCACAAAGACCTGAAGCAGGAGGAGGCGCTGAAGCGTCTCTGCAGCTCACTGGTTATATCTCGGTATAGTTTTTAATCATCTGCACAGAATGTAAAAATGAAATATGCTGATGGTAAGACTTACAAAGGTTGCTGCATCTGGCTAAGACATAAAATAAAATAAAAATTCCATCACAATTTGTTGTTTTCAGACCTCCATTTTAATCAAATAAATGAAATATTGTAAAGTGGTAATATGAGTTTTAGCTGTGTTGATGGGTTTATTCCCTTCAAGTTTTGTTTTTTAACAGTTTTTAAAGGTCTTTTTTTTTTTTTTTTTTTTAGTTCTCTTGTTAAATTACAAATCATAACTTGTAAAATAATAGACCAGGGTATTTTATTAGAAACAAACAACCCAAAAATCTGCATTTGCGCAAATGGTGATTCATTATTTAACAACATTTGACCTTAACTTACACTTTAAAATAAAATAAAATAAAAAATTGGCTAAAATAATAATAATTGTACAAATATTTTCCATTATTTAAAAGAAAAATACGTATATTAAGAAACTGAAAAAAATGTTTTTACATTTTTTTCCCCGTTTTGTTAAATTACATTCCTAAATAGATAGAAAAAAAATCTGTATTCTTACAAATATTAATTATTTGGGGTTTTTCTTATAATGTGTGGTAGTTAAATTAAGTTTTTTTGTTTATTTAAATCAGTTAAAAATATACTACATTGCAAACTTTGTCTGTTATTGTGCCCATTTTGACAGTTTTTGAAAGACACAGCACTCCACTATTTTTTAACTTGCTGCCAGATTTTTTTTTACATTTTTTTTTTTAATGAGGAATTTCATAGAAGTTATTTCTTACAGTTTATAGGTTGACGAGCATGTTTTCCTAAACTGTCAAACTGCTCCTTTAAAGCCACGACAACTCCAAACAGTGCACATAACGTAACCCAGGAACATGTATGATACCAAGTCTTAACCATGTACGGCCCTGACACACATGTACTGAACAAACATCCGACCCTCCAACCTCATTCTAGAAGTGGGGCAGGAAGTTCACGTGAAACCGAGTTCAGGAGGCCAGAGGCATGAAACTCAATTATCCCACAGCACTTCACTTCTTTTCCTACAGTCACCATCCGACAACAATACCGCCCGGCCCCAGACGTAAACACCGCAATCAGCTTTTTTTTTTTTCTCAGCGGTCCCTCCTCCCCCAGAGATGTATTGTGTCTGAGGGGCGTCCCGGGTGTTACAAGCGCGAGCGTGTCGGACACTTGAGCTGAGGGCTCCGGTCATTGTCAGGGTCGGACAGAGCTGGACGAGAGCCCGGCGAGAGTGGAAGGAACTAATAAGTTAAAGCTGCGATGACTTCTGCATCCAGGATGGGGTTCAATGGAAAAGTAATAAAAAGGGTGAAGACCCCGCACGTTGCAGTGAAAGTGTGATGGTTTGTTTGAACCAACAGGGCTTTGGGTAAATCTCTGCTACAGACTGAGCCTCACTGAGCATTTATTTGACGCAAGATGGAGAAGTCGGACACAAATATTTCAGAAAGTGGTCATATGTTGTGGAAGAATAATTGAAATGCAGCTTTTGCTCATTAAAAAACAAACAAATTAAACCTTTTATTAAGGGCAGGTTGGCAGGAGACGACTATAAAAGAAAGACAAGACGGCAAAAATGTCTCTACTGCTGCTAAAACATCACCCTGAATGAATACATTTGACACTAACACTGCTGGTGGTTCTACGGTGTGCAATCACAGGGATCTTACCAGCGAAACGTCTCCAGTGTCATCACAGTTGTTTACATGGAGCTGCGAGTCATGTTGCAAATGCATGAGTGTGTGGCGTTTCATAAGAGGATGTATGCAGCACGTCCCTGAGAGTCAACAAGGTCACTTCCACTTTTTTTTGGGCGACTTACAACTCGCAGCAGCAGTCGCACAATAACAAGCAAGCGTTTCCGTGGTGTGGGGCAATCTGCGGCAAACGTACAGGGTACTAAGCCATCACCTTTCAGCGGCAACCATCTCGTCATCTTTACGTATGAGAAAAGAAGAAGTCGTCAGCGTACGGTGCAACGTTCTGATTGGTAAAGTCTCCGTCAGGCAGGCATCCATCTGAAGACACTCGCTCTTAGTCTTTGTGTGACTTTATCAATCAAAAGCATCCCAAGTGATCCAATCCACACTAATGTGTCCCTTCCATACCTTCTCCCTTCTGTTTCTTGTCTACTCCATGTTGACCAATAGTACTAAATGCCACACAAATTTAAGTTAAGCTACAACTAGCAGTTACACAACCACAGATGTCTCTCCAGCTTTGTCACAATAACCCTGATGTTTAACTTCTTCTGCATCACACCACTGCATGTCCTGTATCCCATGTTTGTTTTCCTTCTCTTCACCAGCCTATAACGCTCTTCGATGAGTCTCACAAGTATCAGCATTTCCCATACAAAACTAAATCGTCCCGCCTCTTTTGCCTTCTCCTTCCATCCCCTCTCAGGCCGCTTCCCATCTCTCCCACTGATCCCATTACCAACTGCTTCCTCACAGGAAGATCAGCTTCCGCGCTGGCCTGAGGAAGCAGGTGCCTCTCCATTGTTGTGGTGTGATCAGACTCTTAGATTCACTCCCACAGACCTGAGAGGAGATCTGTGTGTATACACTGTGTGTGCAACTCATTTATAAGCAAGCCCCTCCAATTGATAAGAGTTTGATATTCACATCCAGTCTTCCTCTGCCAGCTCTCAGTACTGTTTCCACCCCACACACACTTTATTTTTTTTTCCATCCAGGGACCTATTGGATGTGAACCAGCTTTTAGGAAATAACAGAGGTAATTAAGTGCTTCCCTTTAGTTCAAACAACCGCCACCAGTGAGAACGCTGCAGTAATGGATCTGTGCACATCGCTAACACTCCTGTTTTGTATTTGCAAAAGCATGTAGGAAACAGATGAAACAATCAAGGTGAGTTTGCTCTGCTGCATTGTCCTCATCAGTTTTCATGAGATTTTATTCATGTTTTCCTGAGGACTTCTTGTTCATGTTGGCCTTGGACATCACTGTTCCCAAGGTGAAGGATAAACTCTGAACTTTAAAGCCCCTTCTTCTGCATATTCATTACAATTTGGAGATGAATCTTTCCTTGGAATGAGTCTAGAATACCAGGAATACATTCCTCTGTTTACCTTGTTTGTGCCAAACATACTCAACAACATATGCAAATGAATCCAAGTATCAGCTTTAGCACCAACAACACAATGGCACGCAGCAATCTAGCGCAGCCGATAGCAGCACCAAAACACAAAGGCTTTTTTGTCATGTAGAGAACAGAAAGCCGCTTTATAAAACATTTGGTCCTCACTTCCTCAATAAACACTGATAAACATAGGGAAATCTGAATGCAAATATCAGGAGCTGTAATTCCATGTTTTGGCACCTGACTCCAGACACGAGGGACCTGGTGGAGGCTCTGCAGCGCAAACACCGTCTGCTCAGCGTCCAATTAAACCACTCTGGGTTTGATCAGACGGCGAGGATGCAGACACACACACCTTCAGCAGAACCTGTTGTTAGACTTGATGCAGTGCCGTGTGAGGAAATGTGTTTTTGTTTTTCGTGCACTTCAGGGCTTACATCACTGATTTTTTTTTTTTTTTGGTAACAACAGGTGTGTAGTGCATGTATCCACACACACACACACACACACACACATGGGGGCGTTGACCTCAAAGCATGCGCCGTAGATTGAAGATTTCACCGATACCATCGGCATGAAGAGACAAACAGGAAGCATTTCGGTGAATAACAGACGGCTGCACTGGGATACTGCAGTCACGAAGAAACAACACACAGTGTGGTAGATTGTGTGCTCCTCATATCTGATGCTTGTGGTGTCGTAAATGACAAAGAGTTTCAAAGCTCTTACGTACGAGCGACGGAGTTTATTTTTTGAGTCTGACACACGGTCCTGAGTGCCAGTTTTGATTTCTCAACACGGAGAGCATGTTGGTATTCAAAATGATTGAGCAATTGAACAAAAGCCTGAGAATGCAAGAAGAGCTTTCCTGTGCAGCAGGAGTGTGTCACCATCGAGGCAGGATGCAAGCAAGGAGGAGTCCTTTATTGCTTTCGGTGAAAAAAAAAAACCTGTGACCTTATTGAGGTTCATTTATTCGACTGTGAGTTTATCATGTATTTGTATGTTGGTTCCTAATTAATTATTTGTATGTTTATCCATTCTCAGAGGGAACAAAAAATGTATTTTCAGGTTTAAGCCAATCACTGCTTTTAGAAATATGACATCTGTGTGTGTGTGTTATATAAGCAGGGTCAAAAATAAAGGCCCTTATGAGGAATGGAAAAAGCTCCTTGGTCAATGCACGCAACGCAGATTTAGAAGTTCTGACATCGTGGAGAAGAATTCTGTACTTCCACTTCCATACTATAAATAAGCTATGACTTTTGTACTTCTCTTTAAAGGAGATGCTGGACAAATTCTGTTTTCCACGCTATTGCAAAAAAAAACATCCCAGCTGAGTGTTTCTTAAGGTCAATAGAGTCATAGCAGCTTTTCCTCAACACTGTGTTCACCACAAACACAGCGAGATAAATCAGAGCTGTTGGTGGGAATAACCAAAAAGAACAGAGCCGCACAGATTTGAACTTGAGATGTTTTGGGTAATGATCACAATTCTGACCCGAAAGTCCCCAACTTTACATTTGCTTCCAAACGCTTGATAGGTGCTTTGACGAGACTCTGGGCTTGACCTGGACGTGACCTCGCTGCATCAAGACCCAAAGCTCGACAGGTTCTTGGAGAGGATTGCTTAAAAAAGTTACACAAAGCATTTGTGGTTTCAGAGGGAGATGTGTGTCAATTTTGTGTGTAAATCCTGATCAACTGATGTCACATGAGTTGGGTCTGAAGATAGACAATTAAAAAAAAGAAGTAAGGTCATTAGACTTCTGTCCTAAAGTTAGATTAGCGTCACATGCTAAAGTCTGTGGTTAAACTGTCAGCGGTTTATGTTGTTGTTGACAAATTTGTAGAATAAAGAAATCTGTGGTTCCAACCAAACGTCCTCCACCGATGTGCAGTAATAAATCAGAGGAGAACTCTTTGAACTGAGTCGGACCAGTAAAAGAAAAGTGTTTTTCATCACTAAGTCTTCCGCTGCCTCAGTACATTTCAGGTCACAGCTTCCTGAATTACTCGAAGCTCAGCTCATTTTTTTTGTTTTTTTTTTCTCTACAAGACACACCTGAAGTAACCTTTGAGGTATCTACAACTCACATGTGACTGACAGGACGTCGGTTTCGTCTCGTGAAAAGGATGTTCAGGTGTTCCTATGAGGTGCAGCCCTCAAAGACCACCAACAAACCCTCTTCTCAGATATCTTGAGCTTCAGGGAAAGTTTGCTCCCTTGTTGTCAGTGGTGTTCTTACATCTATCCAAATAAACCATAACTCAAACGTCACACTGGATTTCTCTCTCTCAAACAAACCACAGCGACTGGAGTCGCCCCAGGAAAAGGAAGTCCTTTTTTTTTTTTCTTATCAGTTCATTTAAGGTGCTGACCCAGATATCTTCAATCAACTAATCACACAAGCTTTGAATATTGTTCCTGTTTACCGACACAGACACCTAAAGCGAGAGAGCGTCCTGGCGCTGCTCAACACGTGCTTCTGCATCTCTACTTCCTCACTGTTTATTAAAAGCATGAATCATATAGACAAAAGCAGAAGTACCCGAAATGGTCTGACGGTGGGGGTCTGCAAGCTCACCGAGGAGGGCTGTCAAAATGACTTTTTTTTTTCTTCCCCCATCACTGTGATGCTGACACTGCCATCGGCTCGTCTGACAGAGAAGAAACACCCCCACCCCCGAGGCTTTCACACTGCTGGCATTTTAGACCACATTTGTCACAACCAAATGACAATAGGCGACTCTGACAGCCTCAGACGGAGTATTTTTGTCACAAAATCATCAAACCCTCGGATGCAAATTTAGATGCAAACGTGTTAAATCAAGAGTCCGCTGTCAGAAATGGAGGCATTGTTGCGTTAACTTTACCAGAGGATGTCCAACGGCTCATCTGGCTGACGCTCGGTTGGAGCATCGAAGCCCACAGATCCGGCCCCCAGTCTGAATAAGAAACACACCTGCCTCAAACATTCAGCGTCTTACCTGCAGTTTACTGTCCAGCCTCCATATCCTCTGTCAAAGTCCAAAAAAAAAGTCCACAGCAAAGTATCTCCAGCTCAGCGTTGCTGCCATTCATTCACCGCACACATCACGGTACAACAGACGAACCCACATCCTGGGCACGGCGCAGCACAAACACTGAAACCAGAGTAGACTGCGCCGCCGGTTGTAGCTCCCCTCGGCGCTCAGAGTCTTCTGCGCTGCGTGGCGCGCAAACAGGAAGCGTACGAGTGAGGTGCATGTGAGCATGAGGGAGGCTGCTGCTGCTGGTGGTGCTGTGTGTGTGTGTGTGTGTGTGTGTGGTTAAAGGTGGGAAGTGTTGGTGTGTGTCTGTTTGTGTGCGTCTCTACATGTGTGTCTGAGAGGCTGCATGTGGATTCTGAAGGGATGTTGGCCCCCTAAAAGGAAGTCATCTGTTTCACGTGTTTGTTTTCATGCTATTTTCACACTCGTGAGTAAAGTGTCTTTGTTTGTGTGTTGCACCTTTGTTCATTATCTTCCAAAGCGAGGGAACTTTTGCTCGCACAGTGCGTCGTTTTCTTAACACGACAAACACAAAAACAGCTTTTTATTGCCATTTTTGTCATAAATAAATGGTTTTAGTTATTGTTTTGACCCATCTAAAATAATAAATAACAGAATTAAACTATAAAAACATGCAAAAGATGCACCAAACTGTTCTGTACTTGTAATATTAGCCTTAATATTTAAATTATTTAGGTCAAGTTCCTTAATTTGTAATGCAAGATGGCCTTAGTTATATCATTATGTCAGGTTATCCTCCATTACTGATGATAAGATATGATGAGAACTGGTCAGGTTCTCATCATATCTTACAACTGAGGTAGGCTTCACCAGTTTTGAATCCCTTGGGGTTCCCCAAGCATTCAGTAAGAGGTTATCAGAGGCCAGTGTATGTGTTTCACAAATGGCCGCCCCTGCCTTGAACATCATTGAATGTAAGGAGCCTAAGCCACCACCATACGTTCAAGCCAGCCAGCAGCACTGGACTGTAGTTACTCATTAACAGTTGCTCACAGCTTACCACTGCTATGCTGATGATACCCACCTCTTCCTGTCCTTCCCCCCGGACAACAACACAGTCTGCCCGGATCTCATCATGCCTTGCAGACATCTCGGCATGGATGAAAAAACGCCACCTTCAACTCAACCTCTCTTAGACTGAGCTCCCTGTCATCCCAGCCAGACCCTCTCCACAATAAGAAATCAACATTGAGCTTGATTCAACCCAACTCACACCCACAAAATCTGCCAGAAACTTGGGTGTCATGATTGATGACCAACTAACCTTCAAGGCTCATGTGGCCTCTGTTGCTCAGTCATGTTGATTCGCCCTGTACAACATCAGGAAGATCAGACCTTTGCTGTCTGAACATGCAGCAACGATTCTTCACGCAGGCCTGCGAGTCAAAAGAAAATATCACCAAAGCAAGCTGTGGCCATGTTAATAGCTAAACATGACAAACCTTTTACTGAAGGTACATTTATCAAAGACTGTGTCGTGAAAATGGTGGAGAACATTTGCCTAAAGGAGAAGCAAGAATTTTTGAATGGAACGTAACACGGTGAAACGGAGCGTTGAGGACATATCATCAGATATTCAGAGACAACTGGGGGACAGGGGAGTGGCTTTTGATTATTTCTCATTAGTCTGTGATGAAAGCACCGATGCATCTGACACTGCACGGCTACTGAGCACTGAAGAGGTGACGACAAAGCAGAGGAACGGATTCATTCGTCTGTGCTTGTGAAGCTGTTGATGATATGAAACTACCATGGGGGAAAGCTTCTGGGATCATTAGCGACAGTGTGCCTTCCATGGCTGGTGAGCGAAGTGGATTGTCCAAACTGATCTGCAATAAAGTCAGCGAAGAAGGAGTTAATGCTATAAAACTTCACTGTAGAATTCACCAGCAGGCTGTCTGCACCACACATCTCAAATTTGATCATATTGTGAAACCAGTGATAAATCAATCCTATTTGCTCTATAGCACTGACAGTTTCAGCAGTTCTTGCTTGACATCCAGGCTCAATACGGCGACATAATATAAGTGGGGGTTCGCAATGCAGCGATTTTTCTCATTCAGAAAAGGAAATTGGGCATTTTTTGGGTGAAAAGGGGCAACCGATGGAAGAACTGTCAGATCCCATATGGCTGGCAGATTTGTCTTTTATGGTTGACATAACGAAGCGTCTGAATGTTAATCTTCAAGGACAAGATGCATGGTGAGCCAGCTATATGCTCACATCAGGGCCTTCGGAACCAAGCTGCAAGAACACTTGTTCCAAACAGAGGCCTGAACCGCACACTTCCCAGCTCCGAAAGACGTCACTGACAGTTCCCCGCAGGACAATGACGGTGTGCAAATGAAGAGTTATGCAACAGCTATCACATCTCTTTCTGTGGAATTTAACAAAAGCTTCCGGGATTTTGCGGTTATTGAAACGGACATGTTGCTTTTCTCTTCTCCTTCCTCCGTGAACCCTGACGATGCTGCAGCCGGAGTGTGACGGAAACAAACACCAGCAGCTTTCTCTGGTTGGCTTTTACTGGCCGCTGGGTAAAAGCAGGTTTCCAGAAATGCGAACATTTGCTCAGAAAATGCTGAGCTCATTCGGCTCCACCTGTTTGTGTGAGCAGACATTCTTAACCAAAAACCGACTGAGGTCAAGACTCAGTGACTCCCACATACGTGACATTTTACGCATTTCAGCCACTGAACTCAGACCAGACCTGGGCTCTTTACTAATATCCAGATCTCAGTATCACCCTCCTCATTAGTGTCTGAAAGCTGTCAGTTTCTTCATCAATCAGAGTGTTTTGAGCAGTAACACCTGTCACTAGTAGCAGTGAAAAGCCAAAAGCACACACTTGGACTTAAGGCGCTTATTTTATTAAACTTTTGAATAACATTTGGTTGGAACTGTTGATGTGACACAAACTACTACTTTCTGAAAGATCTTGTAAAAGAGCAAAAATCTCTTGTTTTAAACTTTCATGACAGCTTTGCATTACTTCTAACTCCTCGAGGCAAAGATATTTATCAAACTCATGGGAATTTAAGGTATTTCACGCAGTTTGTTCGATGTTATCTGACTCTGAATTGTGTTTTTAGAGTTGATCACGTCTGCCTGAGTGGCTTATATTTGGTTACATTTGAAAAATAAAAATAACTGAGATAATGAAAATTGTTTTATTTTATTGCTTTTAAAAAAAATGTCAGAAGGAACTATTGCCCCCGCAGGCATCTCCACTTTATCAAGTCCGGCCCTCTTTGCAAAAAGCTCGGGCACCCCGAATACACAAGTTACGCAAAATTACATTATAAATAACTTGGAAAGCCCTTGCACACTCGCTGTTGTTTTGAATGTGATTCAACGGTGACCGTCACCGCGTGGGTGTTTTCAAATTATCTTATAATTAGGTACAGTTTATGGATTCCCTATTCCCCATCTTCTCTCTCTGCATCCCCCTCTGTCAGGGAAATGCTCGCGCTACTTCCCCCTCCTGCTTTGCCTGTCGTTTACATGTTATCTATTAGTGTGCCTGTGAATTCCCCTTCTCTCTTACAGGGAGGGAAATGAACGAGCCACACAAAACAGTAAACATTAGCAGCGTGTCAGCTCATAAAGCCCATGAACGTGACTCTCTAATCAGAAAATGATATTTGAACATCTCAGGTCAAAGCTTGTTTATGACTTCTTGCATTGCAAATTAAACACTTTGGAACTATAAATAGAAAAGTCGATATATAATCATGACAGAACTTTTTCTCTTCGAATAGCAATATGCATTTAATAATTACACAAAGCTCGATGCAATCTCACTTTTCTTCTTAAATCTACTGTGTTTGATTTTACTAAATATGAAAATACAAAGTGTGACGATGCTCTGCTACGCTCCCCCACTGTTGTTTCCCCGTTGCCACCGACATCTTACAAGCCACAGTGTTTACTGCTTCTCGGGCCGACAAATATGTTGCTGAACCTCTACCTTCTAACCACGAGACCTCACACCACTGTACGAACCTGCGGTGAGTCATGATCAAGACAAAAACGGAAGAAAGGTGCAAAGAAACTCACTGACAAAGACAGGAAAGAAGAAAAGAAAGAAACTGGGTCCTGAAACATCAAAAACTGGCTGTAAGTGTCGTTCAGAGCTGCAAAACGTTCAAACAAGCTGAAATAAAAATAACTTGCTTTACTCAACATGGATTTACATGACGCTCTTGTGAAAACAAGCATGTGTGGAAACCTTCAGAAAACATCTGGAAATAGCTTTATCTGCAGTATAAACTCCATTGTTTTCACTTCTCTGTAACTGAGTTTCCTTTTAAAGGTAAAAGCCCACAAAGTAAATAGATGATGATGCAGAAACAGAGAAGAAGTAGAAGTAAAGTATATCCGCTTTTATCTCAGCAGATTTGCCTCAATATATGTCAATCATCGTGATCAAAACATCCTCTGCGTCGATAGTTTAATGCACTTTGTTTCCTTTTTTTTCTGATAACAGTGACTGGCTAATAAATGTTTGTTGAGTTGATGAGTTTTATTCAGACTGAGTTGTCTTCCAGCACGAGGAGTAAAAACGTGACCATGCAACACATACCAAAGGCAGCTGGCTTGACAAAAATCAACTTTTAGGCAAAACAAGATTTAAAAAGCCCTTATAGGAAAACTAGACTTTAGCAAAGGTCTTGTTAACTGGCAGGGAATCATTTGCAAAAGGGAAGAAAAACACTTTCATGACTCCAAAGCAAGTCAGGAATGCTCTTCAGGGATGTGCACACGTGTTTCCTTATCTATGATCAAGAGATGTATTGACCACAACCTCAGGGGAGCTTCAGAAACAGAAAAAAAACAGGTTTCAGGTCACTAAAAAAAGAAAAAAATAGCTCTGGAACAAGTTCTATGGATTAAATCTGTGTCTGAAAAAAAGAAAACATAAGCCGTGTTTAACATGGCGGCACTTCTTTTATGGCTGCCAGTGTACGGCTGATGACTTCAGCGCTGACAGAATGCCGAAGTATACAGAATCCTACTGCGCTCAGATTCAGCCACATGCATCGATGACATTTCCTCATTCAGCAGAACAACAATCATACACACAAGGCCAAAGCAACCAAAGAGATTTTCATGGCGATGAGGTGGAATATTCTCGACTGG